AGGCGGGGCCTGCCGGCGGGAACGCGGCGCAGGGCAAAGGAGGTCGGTGGAGACGCTTCTCTCGGGCTGTAGAGGGAGCAGCGCCTCGGCTGCGTTCCTCTATTCCCCCGCCCCTCTCCTCTCTGGTCGGCCCCGCCTCCTCCAGTACCTCCACTCCCCACTACCCAGGAAGGCAGTGCGAGCTGAGGGCTGCTTTCGCTTTCCCTTCCCTGTGCCCACTCCTCGCTCCTCGCGCGGCGTAAGGCCCCTTCCCCAGCAATGGCCACGCTCAGGGTTCAGCCTGAAGCCCAAGCCAAGGTGAGCACAGAAGGTTCAAGGAAGGGCCTTTCAGGGAGGCGTGGCTCGGAGAAACCAAGGGCATCCCCGACTCTCCTCCAGCCCCTGACACGAGTGGAGGTCAGTCGACCGAGGCTACGCTCCCCGAGTACCTGAGCCCACAGGAGACCGGCCAGGCCTGCCAGCGGGGAGAGGCGAGGCGGCCGTGGTTCAGTGGGGTGAGGTGAAGCGGAGAGCGGGTGTAGAGGGAAAATCCGCTGGCCCGGAGCCGGGGCCACACACAGACTGGGTGCGGGGCCTGCCTCCGCCACCTCATGGCCTTCTCATCAGGTTCCCAGGTCCCACTCCCCAGGGCGCTCAGTTCCTGCCCCAGCCGCAGGGGGCTCTCATACATGCCCTCTTCAGGGTGACCCAGGCGACCCGAGGAATCTGTTCCTACATGAACCACCCAGTCTTCTCTGCCAGGAATGTTTTCACCTTCATAATCCAGCCCCACGGGAATCCACTCCACTCTCCCCAGGTCCACAGAAATCCACTCCTCCACCACCCCGGTCCACCCGAACCCTTCCCAGATCCAGGCCCTACACAACCCTAAAGGAACTGCCCTCAAATGAATTGGCTTTAAAGTCAGGTTTCTGAAGGGTTGCCTGTGCTCCACAGGTGGATGTGTTCCGTGAAGACCTGTGTACCAAGGTAAGACCTGTCCAGTCAGTACCCCCACCAGTCCCCAACTCCCACTGCTCAGCCCGTCCTCCCTTGCTGGGCAGCATTGGCCCTGCTTCGCTGGCTAGGAAGGGCATTTGATTCTGACCTCAGCCTTCCCCCATTCCCACCTCACACATAGACAGAGAACCTGCTTGGGAGCTATTTCCCCAAGAAGATTTCTGAGTTGGATGCATTTTTAAAGGTACTGGGATTGGGCAAGGGGAGAGTGCGGGAGGCCATCAGAAAGAGGAGGTGAGAGGGACACATTTGCCTATAGCCCTCCTCCCACCCTGCATCAGGAGCCAGCTCTCAATGAAGCCAACCTGAGCAATCTGAAGGCTCCATTGGACATCCCAGTGCCTGATCCAGTCAAGGAGAAAGAGAAGGAGGAGCGAAAGAAACAGCAGGAGGCAAGCTGGGGAGAACTGGGGAGAGCTTCTTGATCATGGGGAAAACCAACCTTAGGCCTGACTCCCATGAGCCCCTCTCTCCCTGCAGAAGGAAGATAAGGATGAAAAAAAGAAAGGGGAAGATGAAGACAAAGGTACTTGAAACAACTACAGTGGGAAGGGACTGGGGTCTCACTCCCCAAGAGCTTCTCCCTAAGGATCCCTTTCCCCTCCCCCTCACACAGGACCACATATGTGACTGACCCGTTGCCCACTCCCCAGGTCCTCCCTGTGGCCCAGTGAACTGCAATGAGAAGATTGTGGTCCTCTTGCAGCGCCTGAAGCCTGAGATCAAGGATGTCATTGAGCAGCTCAACCTGGTGAGCCCTCCCACTTCCACCGCCAGGCTTCAGGTTGAACCTTTTTTGTCCTCCCTGGTCCCTGCTAGTTAGGGCACGACACTGCCAGGTCTTAGCAGGAACAGGCATAGCAAGTGAAGCCAAAAGTCCAGGCCCTGGGACTCAGGACGGACTTGTCAGACTTCCACCCACCTTGTGGGAACTGGGTGGGGGACTGCTGTGACTTAGATGCCATTCTTTTGTCCCAGGTCACCACCTGGTTGCAGCTGCAGATACCTCGGATTGAAGATGGAAACAACTTTGGAGTGGCTGTCCAGGTGAAAGTGCTGCCCCACACCCCTGCCATTCCTTCCCCTCCAGTCCATACTTCCTTCTATTTTCCCCTCTTGCTTGCTTTCTCCAGGAAAAGGTGTTTGAGCTGATGACCACTCTTCAAACCAAGCTGGAAGGCTTCCACACCCAAATCTCCAAGTAAATGATCACCCACCCACACCCACATGCATACTCTGCTTTGGTTTGGGGACAGAGGCCAGGGCTCATGCCATCTTCTCCCGCTCCACACACTTCTTCCACTTCCCACAGGTATTTCTCTGAGCGGGGTGATGCAGTAACCAAAGCGGCCAAGCAACCCCATGTGGTAGGTAGCCCAGGTCGGGGTGTATGGGAGGATGGACAAACTTGAATGAAGTCAAGCTGACCCCCAAGTCTCCCTCAGGGTGATTATCGGCAGCTGGTGCATGAGCTGGATGAGGCAGAGTACCGGGACATCCGACTGATGATCATGGAGATCCGAAACGCTTATGTGAGGAGACGAGGGTAGGGCAGGGGTGGGCAGAGGCACTTTCCCAGGCCACGCACTCCCTGATCCTGCAGGCTGAGGTGAAGGGTGACAAAGTGTGGCCTCTCCACAAGGCTGGAAATGGGGCACAGAGCTGCTGGCACCTACAGGTGACCCCCACTCCTCCCTGGCCCCTGTAGGCTGTGCTATATGACATCATCCTGAAGAACTTTGAAAAGCTCAAGAAGCCCAGGGGAGAAACGAAGGGAATGATCTATTGAGGGCCTCCGCTCTCATTTTGTGATGGGTGCAGCAGAGATCCTCCTACTTTTTATCGGGGACTCCAGACTTTCAACCTACTTTTCTCACTCTGCCATCAAGGCACAATAAATATAATCATTCTGTTACCCATCAACCCAAGTCTCTTTATTGGATCCTGGCCCCACTGGCCCTGGTTCAGGCATTTCCATTAGTAGGACCAATCCACTGGGTGATTTGGGTGTTTAACTGCTGGTTGGTCCAGTTCTGCCAGATGTCATCAAGGTGAGAGTCAAAGTCCACAAGGTGCTGGTGGGCCCGTCCCTCCAGCAGTGCTCCTACCATCTGACACAACTCTTGCCAGTCCCTCCACATCACTCTGAAATAGTAACCACCATGGAAGTCAAAACAGTAGGCAGTGGGGCCAGACACAGAACTTGGCAGAGGTTAGGTCTAGGGAAGGACCCTTGGGGCAGGACAGAGGGAGCCCAGGAGCTTTGGACTTCCAAGAAGTGGAAGGAGTGGGGCACTCACAAGTTCTTGTCCCTGGGGGCCCAGCAGAGACCATGGTTCTCCAGGACAATGACTGGGGGCACATGAGGTTGAGGCACCAGTTTCTGATTATCCACCTGGTGGACAAGGACAAGCAGGTGAGTTTCAAGGATCCCACTCCCAACTTTCTCTCCAACTCCCTGCACCCTGAATCTGAAGGCTCACCATGGTGAGTACTGCATCAGGGAAGAATTCTGCAATTCGCCCAGCAATTTTTAAGGCCAGGGGCCCAGGGCTGTGTAAAGAAAAGATCAGAGGAATGACCAGCTGACTGGGCGGGCCCCATCTGTCTGAGCTGGACCTCCCAGGTCTCTCAGATGTGGGTGCAGTTGTGGCCTTTCCTTGTAGCTGGGTAGGGGTGGTGGTGGGGGTGGTTCAGCCCTGCTTGATATACAACTGCTTGATGCTTGAATGCTATGATGGGAAACAGACACTGTTGGCTGTTGGTGAGACTGAAAATCAAAACCGCATACTATACATGCGCTGACCCAGAAATTCCACTTAAAAAGAATTTACTGTAATGATAAGACAGTGTCCGTATGGCTGCTAAACAAAAGCTTGGCAGTTTGAATCCACCAGCCACGCCTTGGAAACTTGATAGGGCAGTTCTATTCTGTCTTACAGGGTCACTATGAGTCATAATCAACTTGACAGCAATAGTTTTTGTTTTTTTTTTTTTTTTTTTTGGTAATAGCAAAATGGAAACCACCTCAATGTTTAAAGTGCTAAATAAATTATAGACATCCATATTCATACAATATAGCTGTTAGGGTAAGGTAGATCTTGGTGTAGAGATGGAAAGATGTCAGATATTTATTGGGGGGGAGCAAATTACAAAACAGTACGTATAATTTGATCCATTTATATTATTAATATATGTAATTATTTTTACCTATCTATATATATGAATTCCTTTTTATTAAGTTGCTGGGTGGGTTTCCCCTCTGTTCTTTCAGTACTTAGGGGACACTCAGTTAAGCAAAGTGTCAGCCTGTTCTTAATGATACACAGTTGTCCTCCCCACCCCCGGCTCTTCCAAAACAAGCCTGTCTTACTCAACATTATATTTCCTCACTCCAGTACCCAGCATAGTGCCGGATGTACAGACCACGCTCCTAAGTGTTTGATGAAGGAAAAATAGAAGGAATGACCTTGGTTCTCTTGACCCCCACCCCATAACCCGTTGCTTTCTGCTTTTGGCTACCCTACTCAACTCTGGTCGAACAGAGCTGCATTGGCATGGTAGTACCCAGCCACCACCAGACCACCTTGTGCACCCCACACATCCACCTGCTATGGGAAAGGGCCGTCAGCAACTAAATCGTGCTGCGGGCCCTGTGGGTACGCCCTACCGCGAGGAGCCAGGGATGGGCTTGGGCTAAGGGTTTTAGGGGCATTCGCGGTAGCCGGCTGGCGTCCAGCAGCTGCACCTGGTTGAGGGCAACCTCCAGCATGACGGACAGGGCCAGGTGGCTGTGGAATAAGGGCACACTGTGCGGCACAGGCATTCCCCGGACCGCGGCGCGGGCGCCAGCAACAGCCGGTTCACAGCAACGTGCGGGTACCGGGCGGCGTGCAGGCACATCTTCACGTAGGCCCGGGATGAGATCTCCACCTCCCCCATGGCAAGCGCGGCCTGCCCAGGTACGAAGCAAGCCCGGTTAGTGCTGGTTCCCACTCCACCCCTCCAAGCCCCCAGCTCGCGTCCGCGCATCTCCCTCCAGCACCCCGGCGCCCTGCTTGACTACCAACACCCCCACCTCCGTTCCCCCTCACTTAGGTGCGTCCGTGAAGCTGACTCCGCTAGAAGGCAGCCCGCAGGCTCTGGGAGACCTCGGCGCCGGTACCCGCCACCGGCCGGGCCTAGAAGGAGGTCCAGACTGCATCCCGCGCTACTAAGCTCAGCCTTCCCCCGCCCCCAGCTGGCGGATGGGAATCCTTGCCTCTTGCCAGCACCTCTCGCAGGCTGCTCCGAGCCTTACCCGTTGCTGGAGTCCCGCCCATGTGGTGCTCTTTGATAGGCCTAGAGGTTCTCATTTTATCTAATCAGCGGCCTTTGTCTCCATCCAACTGGAAAGCGTTTACAATTGTTAAACCAATAATTGTCTGACCCGCTTATTGGCTAGGCTACCCAACTTCCGCTCACGACTGCAGACTGGTTTTGTCTGTTACCTGTGCTACCCACCCGCACAAGTCCCGCAGAGCCAACCCCGTGAAGCCTGCCGCCCGCGCAAGATATCCCGAAACAGTGGCTCTTCAAACGTACGGACAGAGAGGACCTTCTTGCTCCTGTTATGGAATGAGCAGGTCTGTGTACTCCAGACTGAATCTGTCACTTAACTTATGAGCTATGTTACCTTCGCGACTACAGGTTATCTGGCCCTTGGTTTCCTTAATGTACTATCTGTTGCCCACAGTGCTTCAAGGATTAAATGAGATAGCACATGGGGACCGGTTTCCAAACTGTCAAGTGCGATGCAGCATTCTTATTTCATATTTAAAAACAGGATAAGGCCCTGAATTACTGAACAATCCCATGAAGTTTATAGCAATGCACAGTAGAGGAACCCTTGCCTCTACCATCTGAACAGGGCTGAATCCCGAAAGGCATAGATAAATACAGCAATTGGCTAATGAGGGGGAAAAAAGGACCAAAACAAAAATCCTACAGACCCATCCTTCCCGTAACGCCCTGTGGTGTAATTTCCTTCACCACAATGCCTTGGGAACTTTTTTTCCCCCTTTCCAGTGCTTGAGAAGGGGTTCAACCATTCATCCATAATTCTCCCAGTGAAACCTTGATCCTCCTTCCAGGTGTGCTCAGTATTCTTTGATGAGATCAATGCCTTCTTTCATTCTCGGAACTCAGCCACAGAACTTTCCCCTTGTCTGCCCGAACCCTGATTATTCCTATAAGGGTTTTGCCCAATTGCCACCTCTTCCTTGAAGCATTCATGAGACTCTGGGATGGAAATAATCTTGTGACATTCCATAAAGCAGGTTATCTGTATGCCTGTCATGGCATGTAACAGGTCTGCCTTGTTTTTTAGGACTTCTTTAGGATGGGCATCTAATTCATGTCTTCCTCGCACCCTCTTCCCTCTATCACATACACATACAGTGTTTAGGCACAGGTGGCACTCAATAAATGCTTTCTGAATGAATGACAAGGACGCACACCAGAAGTAATCCACACAGAGTATAGGTCATTTATTCCTTTCTAGCCCTGGGCTCAGTACATAGATGGCTTCTCTTCACCCTTTGGATTGACAATTTTCTCCAGGTTGCTGCTGATGATATGATAAAGCTCAGCCTGGGAAGAAAGCCAGAAGGGCAGCAGTCAGGTTCTTGCCCTTCCCCACTGCCCACATCACCTGCCTCCCTTAGGGGCTTACTCCACACTCACATAGAACGTCCTCAAGTCCAGCACCATGGCTCTGAGCTCCCTATAGGCTGCCTCATCTCGCTCGTGCACCAGGGCCCGGTAATCCATCTGGGATGTGGGAGGCAAAGTTGAGTCAGCCCCACAGGAGGTTGGGACATTAGTCTTGTTTCCTCATAGAGGTAATAGGGAACTTGAGAATGAATCCCTTCTCAGCACCAAGAAAGAGGATCCCACAGGATCAAGCAGAGAAAAGGGTCAAGGCTTTTGGAGCCCAAATCACTTTCCTAGAGAATGCTTTTGGCTTGATGTTCTCTGCATTGGGAAGATCATAAACAAGACAAGGAGATCCACTCCCCTCTTTTCTTCTCACCTCCAACTAGCCTCAGCTAAAAGGCTGGTGGACTATGCACTTACCACATGGGTCTCCTTGGAGGCCTTGGCCACTGCATCCCCACGTTCTGAGAAGTACCTGCCAGAAGCAAGGGACGAAACCCCAGAAATGGGCATTCAGGGAGATGTACTCCCTCAGACCCTTCCCAAAGTCCCCCATTGTCCTGATGGGACTGGCCAGTCTTAAGACTCCCAAAGAAATGTTCCTGCAGCCCCCAGCTGCCCTCACTTGGAAATGGTTGTCTGGAAGGCTTCCACTTTGGTCTTGACTGCATTCACCCTCTCCAGCACTTTCTCCTGTGGTGACAAAAGATGTAGGAGGCAAAGAAAACACCTCCTTTCCTTTTTCTGTCACCAACCATCTCTGTCTTCCCCCAGCTCATGTCTAAATCTATCCCTCACTCTCCAAGTCTCTCCCCACGTTCAGTGTCCTCACTCATGCTTATCTTACCTGGATTGCCACCCCAAAATCATTTCCATCTTCAATCTTGGGTATCAGATGCTGGATCCATGTGATCACCTAGGTTAAGACGTATCATGTAGGAACCATTCAACATACCTACTGCTACTTCCTAATAACAGCTATGTTTAATTGAATACTTATTATGTGCCAGGCACTATGTTATGCATTATTTGTCTAATTTAATCCTCACAGAAACCTTCAGGGCATATACATTTACTATACCCACTTAACAGATGAGAAAACTGAGTCACAGAGAGTCTAAGTGACTTATTGAAGGTAACCAGCTAGGTAAGTGATAAGTCAGGATTTGAATCCAGGCTGTCTCCTTCTATGGCCCAAGTGCTTAAACCACTCACTATATCATACCACCTCCACTGTGCACCTGGTACGGCAGTATGTTCTGAGATTAGAGGTGGATACAGCATAGTCTCTGACTTCAGGGCACCATTATGATACCACAGGTCTAGCAGAATGAGGAAGAGAACAAATGGCATCTAAATCTAAGGCAAAGAAGGATGTCTCCTATTTTGGGACTAGTTCCTTGAATGAAGAACTTGTGTCTCTGAAGGATGCCAGGGCCTGGCCTTGTTTATCTTTTCTTTCCTCTTCCCCCAGCTCCCACTTACCAGAATGCATTTCTCTTTGAGAGTCCAGACTTCTGGCTTAACTAGGGCAAGCAGGGCCAGCACCTTCTCATTTCCAGGGAGAAAGCCGCACTTAGGGGCTGTGAGAAAGAGGAGATTCAGGCCCCTTCTCATCCAGCAGTCAATACGCTATTTCCCCTTCCCCATCTACCCTTTTTTCCTTTACCTTCTTTCTTCTCCTGCTTATCTGTTTCCATCTAAGGCAAAATGGAAGAAAATCGCTTTAGAAACATCATGGAGATTGAAGGGCCATCATCTTTATTAGGTTTATTGTCCAAGCCCTGCACCCTGAGTATCTCACCTCATCATCCTTGGGTGGGGGGTCTGGGATAGGTATGTCCAGTGGGGCCCGAAGGGAAGTCAGGTCAGCCACATTGAAGGAGTCCTCCTGCACAGAGCTCACTGTCAGGGGCTGCCCGGAGTCTTTCCTCCACTCATCCCACCCACCCTCTGCCTCCCAACCTAGGTTTAGGCCTCACACCATCCTAATGCTCCTATCCACCATTCAGGACTGTTCTGTGGATGCTGAGCCCAGTCATTGGCTAGAGAGCATGGGTGGAGGGGAGAGAGGCCACAGGATGAGGCAGGAAGGGCCCATACTACTCACTTTCAAGAGCTGATTCAGGTATATGATCTTCTGTGGCAAGAATGTGCAGAGGAATTCCTCAGCCTGTGGGTTACATGGCAAGGGTGGGGGCAATCACAGAAGACATTCAATGAGATTGAGAAGCAGGGCTGGAAGGGCCCTTGGAAACTATTGAGTTCAAGACTTACAAATGAGGAAATGAAGCCCTGAAAAGTAAAGGGACTTGCCAAGCTGGTAAGTGGCAAAACCAAGGTTAACCAAACCAAAACCAAACTCGCTGCGGTGGCGTCGATTCTGACTCATAGCAACCCTATAGGACAGAGTAGAACTGCCGCGTAGGGTTTCCAAGGAGCAGCTGGTGGATTCGAACTGCCAACCTTTTGGTTAGCAGCGGTAGCTCTCAACCATTTCACCACGAGGGCTCTGAATCAAGGTTAGGACAAGCGTATTCCTGCTTTAGGGTCATGACTTTTCCCTCCATATAAAAAGAGGGGAGGGAAAGTGGCAGAAGGAGAGTCTTAAGAGGGATGAGATTAAAGACAGAGATCAATAATTAGGAGCTCACTCTGTGGGTGAAGGCTTCTTAAGGGAAGTAGGGCCCAGATGTAGGGTGGGTTTGGGAGTCACTCTGAGGTTGTGACCCTCAAGTACTGGTCTAAGCTTCTGAGTTAAATCGCTTGAGTCCAAAGAGACTTACCTCCCGGAAGAGATTTTGCCTGAAGACATCCACCTGCAAAGAGCAGTACAGGATGTTGGTGAAGGGTCTCAGTTGCCAAGAGAAAGATCCCACCCCACTACGGGCCACCCTCCAACTGTGACTCAGGCCTTTCCCACCAGCGGCCAGTTTTCCCTGGGAGCCCCTGGCTCGGTGTAGGCTGGCCAAAGGCTAGGAATCTGGAAATCCCCAGACAAAAGTCAAAGTGAGGGGCTGAGGGAGTTCTCTGGCGTGGCCTTGGTCCCTCGGAGCACCCAGCTTTGCCTCCATCCAGGCGGGCTCCGCGGTCCCTTCCTGGCCTTCCCGGTCCCCCTATTACCTGTTCGCGGGCCTCTCCGCTCAGGCGTACCCCACAAGGCTTAGCCATGTTCCTCCAGTTGCAAGATTTGCGGTCTCCCGGCTCGCCGCCTGGGCTTTCGCTTTCACTCCCCAGGTCCAGGG